CTTAACCAATAAAAGATGGTTAAAAAAAATTACAAAGGTTTTATATTAAGAACTTACAGCAGTTAAAAATGAAAGTTTATGAAGTATTTTCATTCCACGCTGAATGTTGATGATACAGTGTAAGTGGTAATGTTCATGTGCTATTTTACAGGACAAAGAAAGATTTAGGGCAACCTAAAATTTTTGTAGGGTATTTTAGAATCCCTAGTTTTATTTTTAGAACTTCATATTCTGTTTTCTCTTAATAAGAGTAATAAGACTTCTAAGATCTTTCTCCTAAAATAGAGAAGAAAATTTTTCCATTTTCATCAAATGTATTTAACTACTTAATAGAAAAAGAATGTGAAGTTCTTCTAGTATACGTACTGATTTTGAAATATCCTAAGAATTTTTAGGTGCTACATTTAATCAAAGATAGGATGTAATATAATTAAACACATGAACATATTTAATTTGCATGGATGAATAACTGCATTTATGAAATGCTCAGATTTAATATATCACAGTATGTCAGTATACCACTGTATGACATGTTTCATAAGTGGTAACAGTGAAAATATATATCAGATACCAGTTGTATTTTGTAGTATACACCATATTTTATTCATCTTGGAAAAAAGTGATTTAGAAATTATAACCAAAGCAACCAAAAATCACCTTTACTTGTATTTTATAGGAAATATTAATGTACTCTGATTGTAGATGCAAAATTACAATAGATTTCACTTTAAACTATTTTATATAGTCCTACTATTATCATACACAACTGCCATTGACTGAGTTTTTTATACCTCTAAATGTTGTTTCTTACACCAGCAGATACTGGAATATGTTATCAGATAACTGACTTTTCACCTTTCTTTCTAATTCATGGTCTGTACAAGAAACGATCACTAGTTGCCATTTTATGAAATCTACTGCATAACTGAGTTTTTGGGAGAAAATCTATAATGTAAGTACAGCAAGTTCTCACCAAGAGACTTCTGCAACACAGCGAATGCTAAGCTGCTAGGTGACAATTTTTATAATGAGAAAATTATCATAGTGTGTGTGGGAGGAGGGAAATATTCACAGTGACCAAAACAGATACAAGGAGCGGTGTTTACTAGCATATCCTAATAAGAATTGACAGCTTCTTTTACCATAATTAATTACTGCTGGAATATACTTTTTGGCTGGAGTTGGGCGGGGGTGGAGGGTAACTGAGCAGTCTACATAATTAAAATGCTGTGTGATGTTGGCCTGACTCAAGTTAGCCACCTGGAAACAGATTCATGCATGTAAAGCCATTTTTACAGACTATTTTTGTCTTGGTCAACTAATGCCCTTCATGTAGAATTGCTGATACAGAGGTATACATGAACTTATATTATGTGGTATATATCCACTACTCTACATACAGAGAAATAGTTTGGAAGAAAGCAGAGACAACAGGGACTTCAGCATTGTTGCTCCACAGTTGCCCAGGGAATGCCTGCTGTTTTTCAGGCAGGAGTTAAGGCACATGTGAAAATTCAAAGGCCTAAATGTTCTACAATTAATACAGTTATTGCCAAGAAAGGTTAGCTCCAGTATAGCATGTGCCACAATTTTATTGAATACAGCTAGCATAATCAATTTTTCCAGTAGTTTGCAGTCGCCTTTCCTTCTGTCAGTGAAGATGTCAGTCTCTGTATGTCAGACCCTATGGATCGTTTCAGTTTAACACAGCAGAACACATGGTCAGTTGCTGAAGAGAGGACTACAGGGTACAGAGGATTTGGGCACAAGAAATGCATCGGTTATTATGTTTGGTGCGTTTTACTCCATAGGGCCAAATGTAAGTGTATTCGTGAAAACAAATCTTGGTTTATATTACCCACCGTTTGCCACGCAGTTTAGAGCTACAATTGATATTGTTTTAAAGTTCAGAAATGTAATTTTAAAATTTTTGCAAGGTAATTTTTTTTAAAATTAGATATGTTTGGGAATAGACAACTAGGAACTAGAATACACATAATGAATGACACTGCAGGCATAAATATAATAAAAACAAATTGTGTAGCTCTATTATAAAAGCCTCTGTGACCCATAGCATATGATATTTAATGTGCTTTGGTCAATATCTTTCTCTATGTCAATGGGAGCTCATTAAAACAAGATACTGCAGAGTAACTGAACCATGCCATATTAGTTCTTGCCAAAGCCTGACATTTTTAATACATTAATAATATATCTGTAATATAATGGAAGACTATTAATCACAACTGGTTATGTGCCAGAAATTTAAGCTATAATTGGCTGCTTCTTGTCAGGATTGTCCATCACTCAGTCCTATATCTTCCCAATACTCAAATATCTCGCACTCCTCTGCACTTTTTCCTTGTCAGTGCACTAAATTTGATCAATGTTATAGTCTATAATTCTGTGTAATGACCATCATTATGATGCTGACTTTCTTTAATGAGAATTGGTTATATGGTGAGAGTTGTAGCACAGTGGGTGTTGAGATAACAGCTAGCTTCGCATTCATTCTCAATAGCTATATTCTCAATTCCAGTTAATACATCTGTTTACAGCCCTATCTAGTCCCACTTCTTTGTAGATTGGCAGTGACAACAGGTTATAGAGGAAAAGAAAAACTAGCAAAGAAAACATTAATAAAGAGTATATTTCTGACTAAATGAGAGGCTAAATTGAAAGGCTGTTTAAACATAGTAACTTGTTGTTGTTTCTATACAGTAACTTAACATTCACTTACTAGTTTTACCAGCTTTGCCCAAGCTCAAAATAGTTTTTCTCATCCTTCAATACTGAATATGCACTGATTTGTCATGATCGTTTAAGAGACTTTGTAAGTTTTTATTTAGAAACAAAACATTTTTTTTCAGGTCAATTCCTTACTTATAGATGTTGACCTTTGTATTTGAGCTGTTTTTTTCCACTCCAAAACAATAAAATAGACTGGGGAAAGTGGATAGAAACAGTGTAATTTGCATGCCTTTAAAAAGTTATTTGAATTAATTAATTCCAAAATAACAAGTTAAATATTTCCAATGGAAGGTGTTTAAAAAAAGCCATGATACTTAATGGTCTGATTTTAAAATGTATTTAATTTTTGTAAAGTATCTGAAGTTTCTGGTTTTGTAGCAAATTCAGATTTGAAGTTTACATGTATTTAGACAGCTAATTATTGCTACATGAAAATTCAGATATTAACACAATTTCCAATAGAATACATCACAAATCACAGCTGTATGATAACATTTTATGAAATGAATATAATGGAAAATTGCGCTTGTGTCCATAAGGCAATTATTGTAAATTACTTTGCTATGGAAACACACTTCAGCCATCTGTTGGCATTTCATAGTGTGTGTGGCTTATTTCAGTTTAAGATAGTGCAGTATTTAAATATAGTCAACCCGTTCGTGAAATTGCTTTGAAGACAACTTTTGCTCTTCCTTGAAAATGTGTATTATAAAACAAGGTGTGTGTGATGGAGCTCCTTTCATATTTTTATGGCATAGGAAGATTCATCATACTAACTAGAATATTAGACTGCAGACATTAATTGAGCTATGCAACATTATGATTTATAGTTGTCTGTAAACATGAAATTTAAGAGGTTGTTTAGATTGTAAGAGTCAGCTAAAGAGTTGAAAAGTACAGTAGTAGCTGAATGCATCCTTTTTTTCACAAAGGGGCTGATCCTATTCCCATTGAAGTCAGTGGCCAAACTTCCAATATCTTCAATTGGAACAGGATTGATTGCAAAATTAGAGAACACTACATTGACTTATATAAATGACTTCTGAATTTGTAACATGTTGTTTTTAAGGTTTATGATTTTATGTCCTGGTATTTTACATCTTACCCCCCAAACAGTTCTGTATATTGTTGTATTTCTGTTATAGAAATAAACAAGAGGTAGATATGTAAAAATAATTAAGAAAACATGGGACCCATGTTAAAAGGGAAATTGTTAATATAATAAGCTACAGATGAGCCCGTTGTTATCTTTATCGTTAAATGCAATTTTAAGAAAAAGGAGCAAAGCTTTTTCAATACTAATGAGAAAATCCAAACAGACAAATGTGTGCTCCTAATAACTCTCTTATTAAGCTAACAAAAGCATAGAAGCATACGAGGCATTGTGAGCTCTCCGGGGTCCTCGTTCCAAGAGATAAAAAGCACACCGGTAGTTGTCGTCTTTGTCACTGTAATAAAAGATCCGCTCTGCTGTTCTCCTTGGAGGTTGAGGTTTCCCCTGCCTCATTGGTTATAAAATATGAGAAATGTTTAAGTTCTGTTGTTTGCCTTTCAGGTTTTGCTAAGATGGAAATGTCATTTTTGAAGCAAAAACCTGTAGCTCACCTGAAATGTTATAAATCTGTCTTTGTTAGAGAAGAGTTAAATCCTTCATGTTGAAATACTTTTCACTGTGAATGATTTTGGTAGTTTGTTCATTCTAGCAAAGCACCCACAGTAAAGGTTATCTATATTACACCAATTTGCTTTATATTGCATCAGACCTCCAAAATGTCAACATATCATATATTTTATAATGCATTGATTCTTGGACAATAACTCTTACTCTTATTGTTTCTAAAAGGGTGTTGGTGCCAGAAGAAAAGAATGATTGATGGGAAACAGACACCAGGCTGTAGACACTCATCCTTTTGCTTCAGATGCTGATTTATCAGTGCGTCTAGGTATCCCTTGTGAGCTTTGAACACGGAGGATCACTCGGGGTTATCGACAGTACAAGTGAAGACCTACAACTTTGCTAAATTATTATCTGCTCTCGGACATCTTTTACAAAAAGCCCGGATAGACACATGATAAGACAAAGGACAAGCTTCAGATTTCTGTGAAAAGCTGTCCTTTGAATATGTTAGGCTTCCACCAAAGTCTTCAACTTAGTAAAGCAAGTACCATATTCTAACGCTTCACGTTCAGTTGTGGAACCTGTTTTATAAGATACATACATAAATATATGTGTATATATATTTATAATCTATAGACTGTCCTTAAATCAATACTGGTTATAATTATCAAGGCAATTTCAAAGGATTTAGAGATGTATTTGTCAAGATTCCTGTCACTTCATGCCCTTTGGGTTACTGTATCTTCAGTGATGCAGCATTATCCTTCAGTGTGGGGACATTATGATGTGTGTAAGACTCAGATTTACACAGAAGAAGGAAAAATTTGGGATTACATGGCCTGTCAGCCGGAAGCCAGAGACATGATCAAATATGTGAAAGTGACCCTGGATCCCCCTGATATAACATGTGGAGATCCTCCCGAGACCTTCTGTGCAATGGTAAGGCAAACTTTTCAATGCTTCTTTCCTAGATGGTTTCAGGATGTTTCTGTAATAGGCAGAGGCAAAGTGGAAATCCCCAGTTAAGATCCAGGCAAAGCTACATAATATTATGAGCTTGTAAATGTGAAAGGCTTCTGAGAAACAAAGCAATAAGAAATAAGCAATCTTCATTAAAACACATTAGGCTGTAGGATAAATGGTTCATTTAGTTAGAACCCAATGCTGTTTCAATTGAAATCAATGGCAATGCTTGCAGTGGACTTAAATGAAAGCAGCATCAAGCTTCTAGTGCACTAACCTTTCACCTGGGTGTCTTTGCATGGGTTATTTGTGAAAAAGAGTTTGGTGGCTTGATTTTAGTGTGTTCACATCATGAAACCACCATAATGTGGTGTAATTAGGTGTCCTTGCCCAATAGAAGCCTACAATTAGAATACTTAAACTTTATTGCAGGTTTAAGGGGGAGGGTGCATTGACATCATTTTCAGGGAAGTATGCACAGCTCTAACCGTTGTTACTTAATGCTTCGTTATCATGAGCCATAAATGTTCACAGTTGTATTTATGGGCAGCATTAAAAGAAACACTATTAGCTAGGGTCTGATTTTTCAGAGGTGTTGAGTACCTGCATTTTCCTGTGATTTTAATTAGATTTGCGGGTGCCTAGCACTTCTAAAAATCATGCCCAAGGGTCTTAAGCCAGACTTTCTGCATCTGGGGTCCCTAAAATTAGAGGCCGATTGTGAAAATGTTGCCCTTGGTAAATAGTTGTGCCAGCTGTAAAGAACTAGGCACTTTGTATGTGTCAAAACATTACACCTGAGTAAAGCTTTATGCATAAATGTTTGCCAGGTCAGGTCCTAGGAGATTTTTAATGTTTGGAAGAAATTTTCAGCTTGTAGAGGACTTTTTTTCCTTACATTATATAGAAAATTTATTTTCTTTCAGTAGAATGTTAATTTCTGTTGAAAACTATTATTCCTTGATAAGAAAATGTAGTTTTGAAGTATAAATTATATATATATATACACACACACACACACACACACACACACACACACACACACACACACACACACACACACACATATATGATGTTGTACATGGTTCATTTTATTATATCAGTAAAGCAATAGAAATTTGTGTAATTTTAGCTAATAATTTTAGCTCTGGGAAATTGAGTTCTTATAAATAAGTTTACTGTAAATTGAAATAAACTACTAAATATATTTGTTTGCCTGTATATTATCCATATGGAGATTATTATTACTCTGTGACAAACAGGTCTGTTCTGGGGAAAATTAATTTATGGCACCAGTTTCAACGCCCAGAACTCTTGAAGGTGTTCAGGTCCAATCACACACACATTTAGGATGTTGTATGCATGCACACATACACTCACCACATACACTGCGCTGATATGTGAAGCAATTACATTGGTTTTGTAACTTTTGATTGCACCACTTGCACTCTGCCTACTAATCTGTCTCAACTAACATTGTTTCAAACAGACACCATTTTTATTTTAATAAACATAACTTGCCAGTGTAATATTTCCTTCTCTCTTCCTACTCAGGCTATCAGGTTGGGCAGCACAGCTACATACCACCCCTTCCTGAGAGCTGATTGATTTGCTAGAATCTAACCCTTATTAATATAACTTTTAATTCCATTACTAATCCCTGGTTCATAATGAAACCCCTCTCAGACTCTTACCTAGGAAACCCCTAGTGGCTGCTGCTGTAGTTTGCATACAGAACTGAGATTGTTATGAACGTGCGTATAAAGCTGAAATGACAACATAAAAATATGATTTGCTCTTTGTGTTTAGACAAATTTGGCTGTCATAGCCCAATTCAACACCCCAGTGGCTTAAAAATGGTAAAATTATCTGCAATTATCTGCAGCCTGCAGCTAATTTTCTGGATAGGTTAAACAGAAGCTTTGAAAAGAAGCCTACAGACGGAAGAAGTCATCCGCGTTTGTACAATTTATGGAGCAGAAGTGCTGATGACAGTAGAAATTCAAGCCCTAGAGTGCTCCTCTGGATTTCATAGTCAATCAAAACTAAATTAAGAAACAAAGATTATTAAAAAGTCTTCTGTGCATGTAATTCTGGCATAATATTATGAGGTGGACATTAAATGTTTCCCTCTGAGACTTTCAGCATCATTAATGCAGCATGTCTTTAATTACAAGTAGGCTCATATTACTAAAAAATAGGGGAAATAAAGTACTCTGTGGTGTAGTTAGCAATGCCATTATTATGTTTACTGAAATAATTAAAAGAAGGGATATCATTCTTCTAAGTAACTTATAAGTCAAAATGTGCAATGAAAATGGAAACACTCTTATGTATGCAGCATAACTGAGTATAACAATTTAGTGCAGTGGTATAGAAGCATTATTAAGTATAATTCCACCTAGCAGAATTCCTAGCAGATGTGGTGTTGTGAAAGGTGTTTTTTCTTTTCTTTTCTTTTTTTTTTTTTTATGGATTGTAAATCTTAAGGTACAAATTCTACTCTGTTACATCTGTGCTATTCTGTTAATAAGCGAGAGATTGTATGGGTTTATTTGGCTAAAGTTGAGGCTGTAGTGGATTGCTTAATCTTCATACATGTACATTTGAAGAGACTATATGAACATGAAAGGTATTGCAGTCTTTACCTACATTACCTGAATTAATCCATCTATTTTCCATACTGTTAATTAAACCTAAGCATTAAAAAGGTAATTAAAGTTAGCAGTGTTTGCAAGGGTATCTTAAGTTCAGATAACAATGTTTTTTGCCTTGAAATTTCCTATTTTAAGAAATATTTTATTATATAGTATAATAAAATTAGGAAATACACTATGTGCACCATGCGATTGTAGGGAACCTTTGCCAACCCCTGTCCCATCTTTCAGCCTCATGTGGAGACCAATCACAATATCATTTCTTGCATTCACTAGAGCATGAGGTCTGTGCCAGGGTGAGTGGCTAGCCATTTTGGAGTGGATGAGAAGAAGGTGACCTTACACTTGTCCAACAGGTCCTGAGTTGGCTAACCAGTACAGGGACTACACATTGCAGCCTCATCAGGGATGACACAGAGGTGGCACTCCCTCACATGCAAAGGAACTCCCAAGTGGTGGTGTGCCTTTTTCTCAGCTCCCAATGTGGAAGTGCAACTTTAGTCTTATGAAAGAGAAAAAAGTAAATGTATGTAATGACAGTAGAAACAAAAGATGGCTTGGTGGAACCTGCAGGATGCTTGTTTCCTTTGCAATATAAAGGCAGCTGAAAAAAAATATCCTCAAGTCAAAATTTAAGACTCCGGTTATGGGGAAATCAGATTTATTTCATTTATTAACCCATTTGAAGGCTCACTTGTGAATTATTGACAAGAATCTGTCAATTTGAATTTAGCTCCAAATTTACATTTTGTAAAAACTAAGCTAAGCAGAAATGTGCCAATGAAATTTTTAATGTGTTAAACTGTCTTTCAGTGGAAACAGAATTTTCTGAATCAAACCTACCCTTGCAGTGTTTGCGCTCTCCTGCAATGTTTGCAATGCAGCCACTGCAACAATGTACCAAGTGCATAAACAAGTACTGTACAGTGTGTTTTAAATGTTTGTTTATGCCTGTTTTTTTGTTTTTCTTCAGTATGTCAAATTAACTTAGCTACAATCGAATATTCAAACAACTTCCTTCAGTGTCAGTAGATGGCTACTGCAATAACTGTAGATGTGAACAAGATAAGGAATTGTAGTGTCACCATGTAAACATTCAGAAGTAATAAGAAAAAATTAGCAGAAAATTATATTAGTGCTCTTACAACCTGGAAACAACTGTATAATGTAACAAGTTTACTAGAGAGATAGCGGTAGACACACAGATTTTCTTTGGTAGACTTAATCGGACAAGCAACATAATTCTTACTCAGATTGTCTTAAATACCCATAGGGAACTAGTTTCTATAACTAGAGTTTGGCTCTGTCCACAAACAAGCTTTCAACCATCTTTGCAACCTTATGAGCGTGGTTGGTTCCAAACATAGGGTACGTCTGCACTGCAGTCAAATGTTTGAGTGTTGTCCATGTAGACATAGCTGAGCTAGCTTTAATCGAGTTAGCATGAGTACCAATAGCCAGGAAACCATGGCAGCAGAGGCTTCAGTGTGGGCTAGGGTGACCAGATAGCAAGTGTGAAAAATCGGGACTGGGGTGGGGGGTAATAGGTGCTTATGTAAGAAAGCCCCCAAAATCAGGACTGTCCCTATAAAATCGGGACATCTAGTCACCCTAACGTGGGCTAGCTGTCCAAATAAGTACCTAGGGTCCTGGATGGGCTTGTACAACCCATGATGTCACAGCTTCACTGCTGTTGGTACTCACACTAGCTACATTAAATGTATCTTGCATATGTCTACACATGCTGCAGTCACACCTCCAAATGCAGTGTAAACATACCCATAGTTAGCTGCCACACCTAAGAACTGAGTTATAACCACATTGTATGTGGATGCAAACAGCATTTCAACCTTTTCATGTGGCACAGAATTGTCTTCCTGTAACCAGCATGCTATTTTCTTTGCTGTGTGGGCAGGACCCTCCCACCCCCAATATGTTGGCTGGTTTTCATTATTCCCAGTTTTCTGCACACAGGACATCCCAGAATGCATGGTCTCACATGTTGCTGGTGCAGCTCTGAATGCACTCTTACATAATGCCCCAGAAGGTATCATGGTGGGTATGGATTTGCAAACACAACATCAGTTTTAAAATAAATAAAATGTATTCCTAGTAAAATAATTATTTAAAAAAAAACATTCTTGACAGATTGAATTCCATTCACAGTTGAATTATAGTGGCTCACTGTCAATATAACTGTCAGGAATGTCCCCTGAAATCTTAATATCAGCTGTAATAAAAAAAATTGATATATAAATAAACCCATTTCTAGTAATATACTGCAACCTGCACTGATGCTGCTAAGGTGCAATTGATCAT